ACTGTGTCGTGCAATACGTAAAAAGGGATATTGCCTTTTATTTTATTTTGCTAAGGAAGGAAGTAGAGCTGATAATTTAGCTGAGTCGTGTTTATTTAAGTCAGGCTCAATTTAGGCCGTTCCTAACTTTTTTCCTAGGTTTAGGCTGGCCTATTGGACTTTATCAAAATTACCAACTTTATATACACATAGAGTAAGGAATTTCAGTGGTTGGGTTTATTTAAGTCGGGCTTGTAACATTTGAGAAATTTAATTATAATTAATTAACTTAATAAGTGTGATTAAAAAATTGATGAAGTGTGTAGCCAAAGGAATTAGTGGGTTTGGCTTTGATTTCAGCCCAAGATGTGGGTCCGAATTGAAGATGGGCCATCTAGGCAAGGAAAGAGGAAGAAAAAGTTAAGAAAAGTCCTTTGCACCACATGCGGCGGTGTGTGGACAATTTGCCACGACGCATAGAGGCAACCGGGTGTGATATGGTCCTCTTTATGCCACGCACCATGGTGGGAGGCTGTGTGCGCGACGACGATGGCAAAAAATATGACTTTATTAGTTCATATTCTGTGTGCGAAATTAAAAGAGAAGGAAGGAGAAAACACAAGAGCATGACTTAGCTTTGCTAAGGCACGTCCATTAGGACCCTTGAAGATATCTTGAGGCTTCCTAACACTTAAGGTAAGTATAATAAACTTCCTTTTTTCCCTTCCCTTCCATATTTATGAGAATTTAAGCTAGGGTTTAAATTGAGAGAGTAATTTTCGGTCTATAAGAGCTATGGGTCCGATCCCATTAGTTAAAATGAATATAATGGGAATAGTTTAGGGTATTTAAACTTAACATTAATGATTTTTAAAGTGGTTAATTCATGGGAGCCATTAATATCCAAAATTCATCATAAATGAGGTTATTATAGGTGTTTATGGCTCATTAATGGTGGTTTAATTACTCAATAGTGATAATGTGAGTTAATGAAACTAGGGAATCTATTGGGAATGAATGGAAAGTAAATTACGGAATTGATAGAGTAAGAATGTGGAGTTTAATGTGGATAAATTCTCAAGAATGAGATGATAATGACGACAACTTTGTAGAGTATTTATAGAGTGACTCTTTTGGCACCATTTAAGTTTGGGAGAAGCTTTGAAAGTGATTAGTGTAAGAGTCAAACCTTTGACTTGTCAAAGATTTGAGGTAATTGGGAGAAATCTAACTTGTATAGTTAAATATTAATTGATTAATTGTTGAATTGATTGATTTGAAATATGATTGATATTTCTAAACTCTTGATGCAAATTTAACATGTTTGGAATTATGATAAATTGATGAATTGGTGAGAAATGATTTTGAAAAAATGGAGAACTTTATATATGTTTGTATATAATGAGCAATGATTTTGATTAATGATTTGTCATTAAGAAAGTGATAAAATATGGTATTTGGCATGTGAAGTAAGTTGAATATGTAATTATGGATATGTGAATCCATGTCATGTGATTGATGATTGAGTTGCATAAATATGTGATATACATGCATCGCATGATCATTGGCAGGAATTCACCAAAAGAGAGGAGTAGATGGTTAAATTCACGTGGTATAGGCGGTAATTGTTGGAATCGAGAACTTACCTTGGCATCAATCATTGGAATCAAGAGGCAGCCCTTATCTTATGGTTGATTCGGGACTGTTTCACTTATTCTATGAGGGACTTGAGTCTAATTAGTCTCCACAATTCATGAGGAGGCTAAATTAGGGGTACGACACCCCACGACTATTAGTATTGAAAAAATCAATTTACATAAGTGAGTGAGTTAACCCTGGCCTGGTAGCCCTCATAAGTGAAAGGTTTTGTTAGTCCATAAAGGATGTAGTCATATAATAGCCATCGGTTTCATGTCAGAGATAACAGGAGGGTATAATGTTGATATTTGATCATGCATTTAAATCTGACCACATGATTGTTATTCTTATGGTCTGGCATGAGTTAGGGGCATATGGTTGGCGTCATTGTGACCCTAACATGTGCATTATCATTTAATATGATTATTTGTGCTTAAAGTCGGGCCACATGGTTATCAATCTTGTGGGCTGTGGCTATGCTCATCACACATGCTATATTTGTATATTTTTGCCTATTTGCATCTATTTTCAATTAATATGCAACTGTATAAATTAGGTAAACTTGATTATTAAATAGTTATACTCACCACTCAATTCTCAAAATTTTCAGGGCCAAGCTCATCGGATCTAGTTCAGGGAAGGCATATTAGGATTGTGGTGAAAATCCTACTTTCATGCCTTTCTACTTTGTTTATGTGTATTTATGTTGTAAAATTTCCAACTAAGTCATATGTCATTAATTTGAGCTATTTGCATTAGTTTTGTGTCTCATTTGTGTATTTTATATCCTGGGTTAGTGAGTTTTGGTTGTAAACCTTAGATAGGGCTAAAATACTTGTATAAGTAGGAACATGTGTATTTTGAATGATTTAGAATGAAAATGGTTGTTTTGTGCAAAGTTTTCCTCCCCCTTGTGTTTTATGAATTTGGGGTTGAGTGATAATTTTACGTTATATGCATATTTGGTTGAGTGTACTGCATTGCACGAGTCCTTGAGAGTCCATTGATAGTGGTCAGATAGTCGGTATAGGCTTTTAGTACTTGTAGTTAAGTTGAAAAACTATTGTTGTAAGTTTTATGTGAAAAAGTGAAAAAATAAGTTTTGGTGTCCAACTCTTTGTAGAAAATAATTTTGAGTGTGAAACTTGTGTTATTAGCTGGAGCTAGGAGAAAGCTCTGTATAGATACTGAAATCACCTCAATTGAATGTGGACGGAGATTTGGGACGCATCAAAAATTTACTCCTGCTGCTGTCAAATGACAATACCTGTTTGCTATCAAATTACGTGTAATGCATTGCGGCACATGGCATAAAAGCCAGTGGGCCACGGTGCACTAACACTTAGCCGCGACGCATGACACGTTTTTCTAATAATTTCACTACTTTGAGTTTTGAAACTCAATGATTTGGATCCTATATAATTTTCAGGCTTTCACATTTCTTTAAAATTCTGATTTGAACAATGTAAGAGTTTATGGGAGAAATTTAATTGTTGAAAGTGTGGGATCCCTTTATCGGTATTTTGTGAATTGTTTCTTCCACTGAAATTTTGAAAAACTTATTCCTCCTAATTGTGAATTATGAAAACTTGATAATTCTTGTGAGCTTAATCCCTTGATTACTTGTTGAGTTGATAATTGTGGTGCTTAAGTGAGCTGGAGTTACAAGGCTCAATTCAAGTCGAACTTATTCGAATCAGGCTTAAAATATTATGCCCTCTTAAAAGATTCACTTCTCATAATTTAACTGGATATAAATATTTTAAATATATAAAGTTAAGTGCATAAATGTTACCCTTTAAAAAAAACTCTCAAACATTACCTTAAAGTTTTTTCAAAGTTTACCAACAATCACATAGCTCAACTAATAAGGAATTATACTAATTTAACAAGTGGTTTTGAATTCAAATCTTGAGTGTGTAGCTATGTTAAATACTTGTTGGGAAATCTTTACTACTAATGAAGTCGTAGTTGGCTCGGTCTATGAATAATGGATAATTGTATAAAAAAAGTTTCTCTAAATTTTAATGAAATTTGTTAAAATTGACTTATAAATAAAATAAAATTGAAAAAATATGAAATTTTTTTATATAAAAGGAGAGAACTAGGCCAAAATTACAGTATGTGGGAATTTAATCCCAAAATATCATTATGAACCATGGCCCTTATGAAGGTTGGGGCCGTGTCATAAATTCGTGATTCATTGAATCCATTCTTTGCCGCTGCATGAAGAGAAAATGGGGCAAGGGAGTTATGCATATGTTTGGAAGTGCAAACGAGACTGTCTCCGAAGGGGGCGAGGCCGTGGGGCTTAATAAGGCAATGCCGAGGATTTGAAAAGGGTCATGGTTGAGGCCAACCAGGCAAAGCAAACATTATAAATTATACTTGCCAACCAATTCCATTGTGGCCACGTGCTTTCTCCCCCCAGTTACATTAATTGCACCACCCACCTCGCTACAAGTCAAGGTCTCTCATTCATACCTAAATAGTGTAAGTGTGTACCGCACACTTCTCACAACATGAGATCAGTGCCCTCACTGGAAGAATTTCGGATCCGTGACATGAACATAATAAGACATTCTATCCGAACAAAACGTTAATTGTTTAATTAATTATATGCCGAATCCATATACAAGTATGAGATGATTAGCGCGATCACTTTTGGCAACCGAGTGGAAAATGAGTCAGTTTTTTTTTTTTTAAGGAATTAAAAATCATGCACATGAAGTCGCATCTCACACAGATCTCGTCTGGAATTGCGGAAGGGGTAATCTTCAGGCTGACGCAGTTAAAATGATCCTAACTCTGAGTTTGATGATTTTAACCGGAACATGCATATCTAAATATTTATTTGTGAATGGACCCCGCACCTAACATGTGCTCAAGCTACTTATTTTAATGAGAGCGAAAGGAAGTCGAGGGAGGGCGGTCCCATTGAGGTGGATAGATCAGGAATAATCAACCATAAATTGCCCGGTAAATGAAGTGTTAGGGAATTCAATATACCACCAAAATGGTTCTGGGGGACATTCCTGCTGCTCGTCGGATAAAAATGATGAAGACAGAGATTGAGGAAGGATCACATGAACATGGTTGAACCGTTGAGTAGGTTTGGTGGCCGAAAACAGAAAACTGACCAAATCCTTAAGAGGAGCCTGCTTGCCTGGGAGGCTCCCATACACTAATAACCGGGTTTTTTTTTTTTTTTCCCAAGTTGGCCAGCTCGTAAATCCGACGGAGGAATAAATCAGTGTGGGAGGGTCAAAGAATCAAGTGTTGGGACTTGGGCGTATGGATAGATGATGGATGAGTGTGCGGGGCGAAGAAAGTCAAGATTTTGTCCTTTTAAAACAAACTCACCAACCAGTACTTCCGTGTCTGAGTCACGGGCCTTGCACGAGAGCAAAATCCCAAACGTGGAACCACGTGATGATTTGAGCCATGATCGACAATGCAAAAGTGAGAAAGAACAGGGAAAAGAGTGGGGGTTGCCAGCCGAGGGACGTGGCCTCGCAAGCTAAGTATCAAAAAGACTTACAACGGGGGCGTTCGTGCTCCACGCTGCTTTCCTGCTCCAACCTCCTTCCACTGTACTCCTCCACTTCTGCTTGCTCATGAATCGCTTTGTCACTATTGCATTAGCTCAGACGCTGCCACCTCCCCTGAACTGGCAAAGTGCGGTTCTTGATCTCTCCTTTCTTGTTGCGACTCCTTCACCCACTTGGCTTTCCCATCTGACACGTCAAATCATCTAATTCCACATCCTCCGTCACCATCCAAGTGAGCATTTACAAAATTCCTTGCTTGCTGCACCCTTATATCATCGGCACCCCGGACAAGCTTCCCTGCCGCTTATAAATTCAGTGGCCTCACTCTCGCAAATTCCATGCATCCCCGCACTCTATTTTCCACCTTGCTCCTATATCGTTTATTGAAGCACCATGACTGCAGTTTCTGTGCTCATCATAGTCACTGCACTCTCACTTTGCTCCCTCGTGCAGTCCTGCCCTCCGTCCGAATGGGCGGCTCTCATGGCCTTCAAGGCTTCTTTGAATGAGCCCCGCGTCGGCCTCTTCCGTTCCTGGAGAGGCACCAACTGTTGCTACCGCTGGTACGGCGTCCGCTGCGACCCCGCCACTCGCCGCGTCGTCGACATCACCCTCCGCGGCCTCCTCGACGACCCTGTCTTCCGGCACGTCAATCGCACCGGCTACATGTCCGGTTCCATCTCCCCTTCCGTCTGCAACCTCACCCAACTCTCCACTCTTTCAGTCTCCGACTGGAAGGCCATTTCCGGCCCCCTCCCTCGCTGCATCCCTTCCTCCCTGCCTCTCCTTCGAATCCTTGATCTCTCTGGCAACATGCTGTCCGGCGACATTCCCCGCGACATTGGGCGGCTCCGCCAGCTCGCCATGCTTAACCTCGCTGATAATCATCTCTCCGGGAGCATCCCTGGCAGTCTGGTGAATCTCTCCAGTTTAACGCACCTTGACCTCAGGAACAACGCGCTGGGGGGTCCCATTCCGCGGGACATCGACAGGCTCCGAATGCTGAATCGGGCTTTGTTGAGCCGCAACCGGATCACCGGCCGGATCCCCTGGCGGATATCGAGAATATATCGGCTCGCGGATTTGGACCTGTCGCTGAATCGGATATCGGGGAGGATTCCGGAGGCGCTGGGTGAAATGGCGGTTCTGGATACGCTGAAGTTGAAGTATAATAGGATAAGAGGGGGTGTGCCGGCGAGTTTGCTGAGGTCGAGAATGAGTCAAATAGATTTGAGCAGAAACGAGCTAGTGGGGCATATAGCGGACGTGTTTCGCGAAGGAACGTATTTTATAAATCTGGATTTATCGCACAACAAATTGAGGGGCAGTATCCCCAAGTCGATGAAGTCGGCCCAGTATATGGGTCGCTTGGATTTGAGTCACAACCGTCTTTGCGGGCGCATTCCCAGTGGTTCACCTTTTAACCACCTCGATGCCTCCTCCTTCCATAACAATCTCTGTCTCTGTGGAAGCCCCTTCAAACCTTGCTGATCCATTTCTCCCCCATTTTCTTGTCATCTGTGCTTGCTTTGCCTCTCTGCTGTGTTACTGTGTATTCATCCATGTTCAACTTTGTTCCCTTTGCTCGACTTTGGATTACATCTCTCACTTAATTACTTTGTGCTTTTGCAACACTCCCTTAGATTTCTTTTCAATTTTTATTTTTTACTATCATCTAAGTTTTCTAACTTACTATTTCACTTTCATTTCCTAATTAATCAATTTCTGAAAAAGGTCCGTCGTCAATTTTTTCTCCTTTCATATTACGCTGTGAGCCTTATAGTTTCATTTTGGGATGGCTTTTATTTTTATTGGCCAGTTCATTTTGGGATCTTCCTCAGTATCCGGAGCGTTAAACTTCTTCGCCCATATATTACCGAGCAGACACCATTTAGGCATTTATACAACACGACCAAATTCCATATGATGTGTTTACTAGATCTGCAATTTTCAGAGACAGGAAATATTTGAATTTAATTTCCTAAAAATTATGAAATGGAAGACAATTATAATTAACAAAACAATGCCAATAATTGGGGCATATGGAATGGTAAAACTCTGAAATGGCATATCTTACGGTTCTTTCCTTTTACTTTTTTGGGGCCTCCTTACTCTTTCTTTCGCCGCAAAGTGCAAAGCAGGCTCAAATCGGGCCAACATGTAAAATAAAGAGCATATGTATTTACGAGAACCCAAACAACAGTTCACAATTACAAGTCATAAAAGAATAAAAGAATCCATTTACTAGTTCATTTATTTATTTTGTTTTGTTAAAAAACTCTTGAAAACATCAAATAAATTTTATCCAAACAGAAACCTAAATAAAACAAACTACAATTTTATCTATGGACCACGGCTAGAATCCTAATCAAGCTAAGGATAAATATTGAGGTAGGAGGTGTAAAGTTCATCTCTAAAGGAGTGAATGGGCTCCATGAGGTAGTTCCTGTTGAAGCCATTAGCAATAAAGCTAATGGGATGGTACTCCTTGAGGCCCTTGACAGCGACGAAAGAGGCAGCCTGGTTAAAGGTAGTACTGTGATGAGATGAACCAGACTTGCATCTCAGCGTCACGTCTTGACCTTCATTATAGTCGACGCCGCTGTACAAATAGCAACCCTCTTCGTTGACGGACTCTATGGATACGGTGCCATTACGTCTGTCCAATCCTGGAACCACTCGGAACACTGAAGATGCCAGACCAGTAGAGGAGTCCACAATCTCAAAAGTGTTTTCTGGTCCTTGATGCATCAAGCGCTGCCCGGGAAGATGAACCGGTTCGATCAGGACGCGTTTGTTAATGACATCCGCGAGACTTGCAAACGGGCCTTTGTCCAGCAACACCAGTCTATAGGTCGAATGGGTGGCATTAATGGCGCCGGCTTCAGGTACTTTCTCCATTGTCAGGGACACGTTGGCACCCAGGTTCAGATTCGTCAATACGAAACGTGATTTCCTCGAGTCTTGAGCGAACGTGAACAGGTGGCTGTTGTTAGTGGCGGGGATTGCAGTCATGTAATCCTCTGGTTCCTTATTCGGCCCAACTTTGAGATCCCATTGATCCATAATGGTATGACCCACTAGCAGGAATGGGCCATAAAGAATCGCATGAACTGAACTATACTGCGGACTGTTATCTGAATTTACTCGTCATCACATGTCAAACAATTCAACCCTGTCAGTGTTGGGGTTGTGAATGGACCAGCTAAACAGTAAGTTTATATAATAAATCCATCACCACACAATACCTTTCACGTGTTCTGATCTCAGGGTGATGGGCCAACTAAGGGTGAGACTGTCACCAGCGCTCCACTTTCTCGTCACCGACAAATATGACCCTGCAGAGAGATTAACGAAAGCATTGGATATCATATTTGAATATCCACGGATAATTATTGTGCAGAACCAAACTCTATTCACCTCCATTAACTTGCTGGTTTAATAAAGGCTTGCCGTTAAGTAAGGCATTAGAGCCATTCGCGTGCGTCCATGTCGGTATTCGGAGGTTCAATGTAGAAGACGGGACTTTTCCCTACAAAAGCTAGCGTGTTTAAGAACATACATTATGAATGATAAGAGATATAGATAAAATACCTGACGGGGAGAAAATGTGAAGGTGACGCGCAAGAAAGGATCCGATGAAGAATAAGGAGCAACAATTTGATCGAGTTCCAAGTTGGCAGCCTTCCAGTTTAAAGTACTAGATATGTATTGAGCGACGTAAAGAGTGGGATCTCTGGCTACTTCTTCAAAATAAATAGAATCTCCTAATTTAGAGAAAGATTCAGCTCCGGTGCCGTAGCAGCACCAGAAGGAGTCAAATTGATTGCCCCAACCATGAACTGATCTGGCCTTGGAAACACCACGACCTTGTGGGAGAAAATATATCATAATTCCAGGTTCTGTTCCTCTTTGTATGCCCAGCACTCCATTCGTCAATGTACGCTCGTAATAGTCAGCATATGATACATCTTTTGTCCATCTATATAGATTGCGAGCAACCTGAATATTGATATCATTCCAAGGTGATCTAATTGAGCATACCAGCTACCTGTGACTCTTTCTTTATTTGTTTGTTTGTTTTTTTTTGGGGGGGGGGGGGGGAACATGACACATGAATGGGGGCATATCCGCGTACCTTCAACATGTTGTACGATGCGCAGGATTCTTCATTTTCAGTGCCTAGAACTTCGGCCATTCTATCCGGCAATTTCCTGACAGATTTAAAATTTGTCCATTAAAAATATATCGCACTAAAGAATTTAATTCAAAATTATTTATGTAATGAATATCTGTAAAGTAGATCTGAGAATGAATGACGTCAAATACCAAAACTCAGATACCGAAGTTCCTCCAGTTGCATATGCGTGTGAAGAGTTAACGAGATCCAAAAAGTATGTTGCTATTTCCTAGTATATTATAAAAGGCACAGATGTGAGAGACCACGAAGAAATTGTGAGTTAATTTCATACTCATTTTGTCTGGATATGCCAATTTATTCTTAATTTTAATATTATTTACTATAAATAATTTTTTAAATAATTATATGATATTAAAAAATTGCATGAAAAATAAATTTATTAATTTATTCATGCAACTATACTCATTTTTTTATGATCATTCATTACTTCATATAAATATTGTCAGAACAGTTTAGTAAAAAAAAGAAAGAAAGAAATTCGCCTGACATATAAAAGAAAGTATTAAATGCTACTTTCTTTTCGTTAATAAAGTGTTAAAATAAATTAATTATGATCTAACATTCTAATATCGATTTTATTTTATTTGAAACTAAAATACATTCATCATAATGCACATATATACACATGCTTTCCGATGTATCAAAAAACAAAAAACACAGATGCATACAGACGCGCGCATATATGTGTGTGTATCAGTTTATATATTTAAACATTTTTTGTTGATGCATGGGAGCAAACGGAAAGACAAAACTATGACATAGATAGAATGAAGTAACAGTGAAACTTAACCAAATTAAGGACCAGAACCGCTAGTTTGCTAATTTCCTGAGGAAGAGAACCCACAAACGATATGACCCAGCGCGTAAAATATTATTTGTAGTAAACATAAAAATAATCTTGAGACATGCACAGAAATTTACCTGATAAAGCGGGTCGCCCACAATTTCAAACCGCATTTGAGCTCCAACAACGATCGGGATATGAGTATTTGAATGAAGATCGGATATATCACCGGACTACAAATTGAATTGATGATAACATTTATAACTCGGCGAAACTCCAAGAAACTCGAGAATAAAAAGAATTACTAGTGTATTCATCAGAAACCTGCGTTGCCAGTAAGCCCATAAAGCAAGGTTTATCGAACAAGTGAGCCAAGGTCTGATACTTGGAGTCCCCGGTGATGTTGTATATCCTGTAAAGGACATCATTCATTCCTCCAAATTCTTCATTCAGCAGATCATAGAAGCTGGGCAGGGTGTGGTTCCCGACAAAATTGGTGACACGGTTATAGAAGTAATCGGCCATCCACGTCGCCATCTTCAGAGCTTCATCGTTCCCCGCGAATGCGTACTGATCCACCAGCCCCGCCATGATCTGTATAAAGTTCAACGACATTCATAATTAACTATCAGGGTCTAAAAGTTCGACTAATTAAGACTTGCCGGGTGAGAATAGGCGAGTACCTTATGAATGGTGTAATACGGAGCCCACACGAATTTGCCGCTCTCAAGACGATCAAAGAAGTCGACTGGAAACGCAGAGAGATAGCCAGTATTAATTTTCTTCTGACATAGCGACAGATTGCCAACAACCGCCAACATCTTGTCCCACAGAACTTGATCGTGAGTGCTGGCCCACATTTGAGCAGATGCACTCAAATAATGACCTGATGACACATGTCAATATATCATCAACTCAAGTGCTACTGATTAACAAACAAGAATAGTAGAGAGAACTGACCGACAAAATGACCCCGGAGCTCAACAGAAGGGGCCTCCCAGCCGGCATAAGGGTGCCCAGGAGTGGGCAAACCAGCAGTTTTCCTGAAGCTCCAGATCAGTCGATCGATGTCAAGCATCAGGAGGTATTGGAGGTTAGTGTTCTGGGCAGAATGATGATCTGAGTCGTTATGCAGCCTGACATCGTGCAGAGACACGGGTTTGAGAAAACCTTGGGGAGGGGAAAAGTCACCCTGCTTCTTGAGTCTTCTATAGACCGCTTCCCACTCGTATGGGGAGGGATCTTTCAGAGTTTTTCTGGCCCTGGGAAGCAAGCTGACCCAAGCGGATTCATCTGTAGGGGTGACATGTGTTTGGTGGTAATTTGCAGTCATTTCTTGTTTCCACGAATCATTTTTTGATATCTGCATGTGATATCGGTAGGTGTGCGATGCCTGCGGCGGAGAAACGTTGTTACAGTCCTTAGCCACAGCACAAACCCATATTGCGAAAACTACCGCCGCTATTAGCACTACACCACTCTTCGTCGTCCTCATCCTCTTGATCACCGATCCCCTGCCTCACGTCAACTATTATATACCTGATCAACTCACTTAACAATTATTATTTTGCGATATTATGGCAAATTCATGAAGATAGTGAAATCATTTATAATCTTGAATGACTCAGGAGTTTGTTATGAAAATAGATTCCGCGTAATCTTTTACCTAGACTTAACATTCTGCTTAGATAGTCTAATTATTAGTGATTTATTACTAATCTTACCATAATTTATTTATTATTTATATTAGTTTATATATTGTTCATTTATTCACGAATACTCTTTATATATTTATTTATCCTCGAAATCTTCAAATGAACAAACGGATAAACATGGACTCATATATGAATTTATTCCAAAAACAAGATCCACTTGATCTATAAATAGCGTTAATTATGTCCAATAAATAATTTGAAGTTACTCTAAGATTCGGCTTCTTAATTATTATTCCACCTCATCATATCAATAAAATTATACAAATTCAATCAAATAAAATGTTATGTGTTATTACTTAAAATTATTTGAAAATCAATTCACATTTAAATTAATGTCATTTGAATATTATATTCATTTGAATGTTATATTTTTATTGAATAAATTATGGATAACATGATAACATGATGCACATAGTCTATTTAAAAATTTCTCTAGAACCATTTATATCGCTTTGTCATCAAAGGCAACTTACCACACGCCTTGGCTTTCCGCGCCCTTTCTGCCCGTCATGGAAAATGCCATTCCAAATTGCCAACTCTAATTATTTTCACAAAACCAGTTTTAAAAATATTATTTAAATCATGTGATATATTAATTATTGTCATATTAAAAAAAAAGAAAATTGAGTTTGGAGAAGTGCACGATAAAATTTAATAATTAAAAACCATAAACTATATATAAGTTGATAAGTCCATCGTACCAGATATTTGATTTGATGTAACAATTAGTATGTTTGTGATATTATCCAAAATGGGAACAGATCATGGAATCAGTTATAATTTTAAAGGAGTCGAAGATATTTGTTTAAAAATAGCTCCCTCCCTGCACAATCCTTTGGCTAGATCTTGTTTTGCACTTAGATAATCTTATTAACGAGTCGGGAATTTATTCATAATAATAGATTAGGGGCCCGTTTATTCAGAAGTTCATAATATAATTAATTCTTTTATGACAAAATCACTTATTTTTTAAAAAAGAATCTATTTTGTAAATTTTTACATTGTTTGTTTGAACATTTAAAAATAATTAAAATATGAAAAAATGTATTTTTAATTATTTTAAAAAACTAATTTGACTAGCTTTTAAAAATAATCTGATGTGATAAATGAAAGAGAGTATTTTAAAATTGCAAACTACTTGAAGATATTATAAAATATCAAAATAATTAAATAATAAATTATTTTTATAGAAAAATAAAGAAGACATCATAAAATTTTAAAATAATAAACTTGATAATCTCTTTTTTTATTATTATAAGTAAACATAAAATAATATATTTTTTAATAAAATCTCTATAAAATAATTATTTTTATAAAATATCTAAATTATCTAAAAATGACGGGCCCATCATTGGGTTGAAGCTGTTTGATGGATTTTAAAATTCGGCTTCTTGTTTTTTCCACTTCATCCGATGAGTAATTGACATACAAAGGAGAACGGTACAAAAGTAACGAGTCAGTGATATCAGAAAAGGAACGCTGTCGTCGTGTATTTCTTCTTGCTGTTAACAGAAACCTAGCTAGTATATTTTGGAGTAAACATCAAGAGACCAATGTGATATAAACATGTGTACTTTGACCAACAGAAAGGAAAACGTGAGCACGGAACCATTTATGTTGCTTTGCCATAAATCAGGTTGGCCTATTTGCGCCCTGTGCTCCCATCATCGCAAAAACTCCATCCCGAACCCAACTCTAATCATGTTCATGACATCTGTTTCAAAAAAAAAATGTTATTTTAACTACATTATATATATTAATTATTGTCAGAGAAAAAGGAAAGTTGATAGAGGAGTGCACCATAAATTTGATAAAAACGGGAGATGAATAGTGTGCTGCGGCGGGAGGATCAAGTCTTACAACGACACGATGTACAGTGTAAAAGCCCAAGACATTGGGTATATGCGGTGCCTTTGGAAGCATGGCCCAGTAATTGGATGCTTCCTCGGTCAAGAAATATTCGCTACCAATTCAAAGGGGTCTCGTGGTCATGGTCAGAAAAGCCGCAAGGTATATCGAAAGTGTCACTCGGTCGCATGACCTTGAGGGACGTAGCCCCTTTTTTGTTCCATTTGTTTGACAAATTTTAACAAATTTATTTAATCTCATTTATAAAAGTTATGGTATTACTTTTTAAATAGTATTTAAAAAATATTTTTAAAATTATTTATGAGAGCAAGAAAAGGTAACATGATATTTATTTTTAAATTTATTATATAGATATATTTAAAATTTTAAATATTTTTATTTTTTATATTAATATTAATAAGATTGATAAAAATAATTTATAAAAAAAACCTAAATGCGTACATGTTAGATAGGTTAATCAGTTTGTGTTGCGTTTTGACTTGAAAGCCAGACCATTCAACTTCCTCGCTTTTCACCATTCATTAATTCATCGCTTTTTCCCGTCACTTTCACATATCCACGTCCAACGTTAAACTGATTCACGGTTTATAGTTTTTATGTTTGGCCTAAAATGTTAAACTTTGTTACTTGCTCTTCGTTATATCTATGCGAAGGTATAAATTCTCCCCGCTTATAACTATATACAATCATGCCCATAACTTTCGGCAGCAGGTGACCAGTTTTTGCATCCTTGAATTGAATGTAGGCTCGTCAAATGAGACGCTACATCTTAATGAGAAAGGAAAAGATGGCATCTTTTTGCATATCTAATGTCATACAGTATCGTAGAGACGAAATACGATTTATTTGTTCCATTCATGCACTACTCCAATAATACCCTATCCAGGTGCTCTAAAACTGGCTTTTAATTATTCACGTGAATTGGCTTCTTATTCATGACGCAGAGTGGGAATAAGTCGGGATTGTACTCCCAGTCCCAGGGGCATAACAGTCTTCGAATAAGATATATCAATTATTGGTCTTCTAAATTGGTCCGAAAGGCAAAATGTTAGAGCCATCTGGCTTGATGGGCGCTGATACACTTGTTCTCATATTTGTTGTCATGACAGAAATCGAGGGGGCAGAGATAAGCATAGGAGATAAACCACGCATTGCTTTGTCGGAAACGTAGGAATTTCATTTGCAACGTGCCTTGGCACTCACGCCCTTCAATTTGCTCCATCTCCCATATATCATCACCACCCTCCCATATCCCCCTAATTCCAGACCCCCAGGAGCTCTGATCATTTTTCACGACTTTTCATCAAATTAAATTAATCTGGTGCAAACTAGCCCCAGCCTTGTTGGAGCATGTAAACGAAGTTGTCCCTCGTCATCATCCTCCGTTTATATATTTAGGTGTAAATTAAAAGCCCGGATTATTAAATCACCATTCACGGAAAATTAAAATTAGTGTTGCTGTCGTCGTCCTCTACTTACAATTGCTGCTCTGGCTGTTACTTTCCGCGGATTCATTCATCAAAACTCCCCAGAACATCTCTAAATGTTTCTTGTCTTTATTATTTTCTTTGTCGACGAGAATTGTACTGCACTGGCTTCAATATTCAACAATTCCCACCTTGAAAATTGAAACTGTTACATTCTTGAGCGTTCTCGCACCAGTCATTTAAGGTTCCGTCGTCTCTATGCACCTTCATTTGGAGCCCTTCTAATTCTATGACCTGATCGCTCTGTTATGAGCCCGGAAACTCAACACATTTTCAGATTATTTACCCAAATGAAAACAAATATTTGTTTTCACTCTTCTTAGTTCTTGCACAATGAACATTTGAAGCGCATCAAAAGGACTTCAAAGTATAATCAACCATATGATACATGATACAACTCTCACCCCCCCTGGCTAAATTGTTAATATTTGTTTAACTTCTCCAACGCCTTCTTTTTTATTATTATTTTGATGGCGTTCTATTGTAATTCTATGTACACAGATATTACTAGAATGCAAAAAAGAATGACTAGTTCCTCCGCGCCTCAAAATTCTCCGTACGAGACGTTCCTCTGATACTCAGAAGACGGCGAGGCAGGGAACGGCGGAGGCGATTTCAGGCTACAGAGGTAATCGGCTATGTCCTTACCGCTGGCTGTCAAGTCGCCGCCGTCCTCTCTCGGTGGAATGAACGGCGGCCTCACCACCTCCGTCAGTAGGTCCCACCGTACCCCTCTGAAGAACTCGTGCTCCCTGATCTCGCACGCGCCTCGCACGTAACCCAACCGCTTCGTGGGATCCTTCTCCAGTAACCGCTCGATCAAATCCGTTAGTACCGTCCGCTTTCCTATGAATTCCGGTGTTTTCAACAGGACATTCCGAAAAGTTTCCTTCCGGTTACTCCCCTTGAACGGCGTCGTACCGTATAACATCTCGTAAGCTAATATTCCCAAGGCCCACCAATCAACAGCAAACTCGTGACCGTCGCCGCGCACTACCTCCGGCGCTACGTACTCTTCTGTGCCCACGAACGAGTTAGACTTCTCACCGTTGGAGAAACTCAGTTTCCGTCGACTCACCGGGCTAACTCGAGCCGACTTCGCCTTCTTCAACCCTTTCTTGTTCTCCGATGCGGCAGGGAACCACCGCGTCAAATTCCGGCGATTTTTACTGCGGGTTTCGGGGAAATTGTCTTGAGCTGGTGCTGACGAAATAGCCGTTCTGATAGACTTGGGTTTGAGCTTATGAGAGAGATCGAAGTCGGTCAGAGTGACGTGGCCTGACTGCTGAATGAGGACGTTCTCGGGCTTCAAATCGCGGTAGGCGATGCCAATGCTGTGAAGATGGTCGAGGGCGCAGAGGATCTCTGCCAAATAGAAGCGAATGACGGGGGGAGAGAAAACCCGATCAACTTGGCGGTGAAGGAGGACGTGGAGATCACCACCGGGGCAATAAGGAACAGCCCAACCG